AACCCCCTTTCTCTCCCGATGCCTAGGTCCTAATGTGAATTCAGCTGGACGAATATTTATTAAGCCCTGCTAGGCATTGGCTCCCGTGATGGGGCACTGTGAGTGAAAAGGTGGGTAGACAAAGCTCCTGCCCTGCAGGGAGATGGCACCCACAGCCTGGGACTTAAGTGCCCAATTTTCCTCTCTCTAGGTTGGTCGAGGCAGAACTCCCTTCTCCACCTGTAGCCAAACACCTCTGCTGCCCTCTTTCTTGCTGTTCGTGGTATTAGACCTCCCTGTCTTTAGCTTCTCAGTCTCCTCCCAGTGTCGCAATCATCTCTCTCACATCAAACTTTCCTTTTCCTTTCAATCCCTTGGTCTCTTTGTGTCTACTCAGGGCTTGGGTTTTCAGACTACACAGGACTTTTATCATGTTGACCATCTCATAATAGTCTGTTTGCTGTGACAACTACTTACTTTATTTCTTTTGAACTTGGAAAATAAAGACACAAAAAAGAATGGATGCATTATAAAATAATATTTATTGTGTTTACCTATACAATAAATGGAGCCATTAGTCCCATTTCTTAGGCACTTATAAGGTAAAATTCAGGGATGATAAAGAATTAATATACAAATATATTTACTTTGAGCTATTTTTAATACCTTTAAATATTAGTATATGCAAGTATTCATTCAACAGATATTTGTGGTCCACCTAATACATGTCAAGCAAAGTGCCCGGTGTGTGCTACACCTGAGGCCAAGTACCAGGTGTTGGGAATCCACAACAGGTAAAGAGAGGCAGCATGGCAGAATGCAAGTGCATGGCCCTTGGTGACAGGAAGTCTTGAGTTCAAATCCTATCTTCGCAGCTTCCTGCCTTTGCTAAGGTATTCATATTTACACTGCTGAATTCATTGCGTTTCTAGATTCCATATTAATTAGAAAGTTACTTGCCAGGTATTCATTCCATCAGCCTTAATGTTAACTAGAAGAATTAATTTCTACTTTACAGGGCTGTTGTGAGTATTGCCAATAATATATAAAGCATTTAGTTTAGCAGTCGGAATACCAAGTAAACCCTCAATGAATTATTACCCGCTCCTTGCCTCCAAGGAGCTTTCCATTTCTGTTATTATTATTATTATTTGGAAATATCCACTGTTCTCTCAGTCTGGCTTGGGAGACACGTATAGTATCAGGTAATTAGAGTGTGGTGTGTTAATAACTCAGGGACAGACATCGTGTATAATAAAATAGATGTGAGTTAGGAGGGAGGAGAGTTAAATGTTTCATATACAACATTAATTTAGCATAATATCAGCTGTGTTTCTGTTGCAAGAAGCTAATTTCATAAGTTTGGATTAGCATTTTATGAAGGTTTCAGGCCCGTAAGAACAGCTCGTAAAATAATCCAGCGCTTTATCATGTGCCGTCGTATTCTTACATGAGCAACACCTCTTTTAATCCCCACATCAACCTTACAGGTAGGAACTAATATCCCCATTTTGCAGATGGGCATCCTGAGGCACAGAGAGGTTAAAATAACTTGCCCCAGGTCACATCGCTAAGAAACTAGGATTCAGACCCAGGCACTGTACTGTCAGAGTCCGTGTTTGTGACCACTCATTATACTTCCCCTTATTGTCTTTGTTTTTCAAGCTTCATTTTACAACCACTAGAGACCATCACTAATTATTCTTGAGAAAATTATATGAACCAAGGAAAATCAGAGAAAAGTCAAACAAAAGAAAAGTAATGAATCTGGAAGAAAAGAGAGCCCGGTCACCACTTCTCTCCAGGCAGAACCTGAGACGTGCTCTCTATGGACACCACCCAGATCAGCCAGGCTCTTTCCTGACTATGCCCAGTGTCCAAGCTAGCCCAGCCAAGCTCGTCTCATGTAGGCTGTGTCATTTAGAGTGTTTCATAGATGTTTCTAAAAGTCACATTTTTAAACCAGTTTCATTTGCTTCTTCTGAGGAGCATGAGCTGCAACATTCCTCATTTTCTCAGCTGAGTCCCCATGTAAAGCCCAAGGAGCGTGCGACAGAAGAGGGACTGTCCTGGCCTACTGGTGCTTTCCACTAGAGGGCACTGTCCCTGAGGTTTCAATTTCCGTGCCCGTTTTAAAAAACTGGCACATCTTGGTCTGACACAAGATCCTGTTCCATTGAACTCTTACACTGCTGGTGGGACTACAAATTAGTGCAACCTCTGTGGAAAAGAATTTGGGGATACCTCAAAGAGCTAAAAATAGGAATACCATTCGATCCAGCAATAGCACTATTAGGCATCTACCCAAAAGAGCAAAAGACATTCTATAATAGAGACATCTGCACCCGAATGTTTATGGCAGCACAATTCACTATCGCAAGGATGTGGAAACAACCCAAATTTCCGTCAATTCGTGAATGGATCATTAAAATTTGGTATATGCATACAATGGAATATTACTCAATTATAAGAAATGACAGTGATCTAGCACCTCTTATATTTTCCTGGATTGAACTTGAGCCCATTATCCGAAGTGAAGTATCACAAGATTGGAAGAATGGGCTCCACTTGTACTCGCCATGAAATTGATTCTAACTGATTAACACTGTGGTGCTCACATGGCAGTAATACTCTCCAGGGATTAGGAGGTTGAGGGGGGTAAACTCACAACTAAAGGACACGGTGAGCATTGTAGAGGGGAAGGGCATGCCTCTAACCCTCGCTTGGGTGAGCAAAGACATAAAATGTAACAAAAATATTTGTACCCTCATAATATCCTGAAAAAAATAAAAGATCCTGTTCCATCGAAAGAATACTTTGATTTTATAGACCTGTTGGTCACAAATTAGTTCGTGTGGAAAACTTTGAAGGGAAAAATAACATCACATTCCTTTTTCAGAAGGAAAATCTGAGAGCTGAGCCCTAGGGAGGGGCTAACTTGCATTTTCATGAATCAGAAGATACATAGGAAAAAAGCAGTGAGAAATAAGAGCAGGGTGGTCCTGAGCCCAAAGGCCACCTTAAGAATTCCTGTGCACCAGCCTCATGCCAAGTTTGCTCTCCTGGAAGACCGAACAGACCTTCTATTGGAGCTGGCTGGTCACTTTCAATCCTGTTCGACTGCATTTGCTGCTCACACACAGGATACACGGCACTGTGTTGGATGGTGGTGGATACAGAGGTGATTAGAGCAATGAATACATCATGGATCTTGCCAGTAATTAGTGTACAATGTAGTGAGGAAAATAAATAATTGTCTGTGTTGTAAGGCAGAATGAAATGAGTTATAGTGATAGAAGGACCAAAGGAAAAAAAGGAGTGCAAAAAGAGCCATGATTAATTTTGACTATTAATACCAGGGAAAGCTTCACAGAGGCGGTGCCATTTGAGATGGGCATTGAAGGACGTGTGAATGCACGGGGGTGGGGGGCCCCTCTGCACTGGGCACTCTGCCACGCATAGGCAAGGGACTGTGAGCACACACGGTGTATCTGGGGGGGGCGCCCTGAACACACCCCACAGATCCAGGCCTCTGCTCATTTTCATGCTTCTCTCACTTGGAGGACTTCTGTGCTCCTCTTTCTCTATCCAAATTCCATCCATCCTTCAAGGCCCGGCTTCAGCTCTCCCTCTCCCATAAGGTCTTTTCTGACTATTGTAGCTAGTGCCCCTACTTGCAGCTGCAGTTCAGGATTTAACTGTAGTGTCTGTGCTGGAATTGTCTCCTCAGCTAGACAAGGGCAGACATTATGCACATCTTATACTTGCAGCCTTGCAGCCCCTAGTGTAGTGCTAATGGCCATCAGTGCTAGTTGGGTCTAGGGATCCATTTACTGGGATCGATGCCTTCATTCTGCCTAAATGCAGCTCATTTCTGCTGTCCAGCCTGGGATCATTCATGGGCGCTTAGGAATTAGCTGGTTACGTTTGCTAACACATAAGGGAAATATTTCCTCAAATGATCATGTGAATGTCCTGCTCAGCTGCGGGGGATTCTTCCTCATTGCTGAGAGCTGATGCCTGTGTAACCTGGCTGGTTGTATGTTTGCTGGGGGTGTCAGGGTGGGGGCACTCAGCCTCAGTTTAAGCCCCACAGCTCTCTGAGCTGAACCTTAGGAACTGAGATGAACCCAGTTTCATCATCTCCCAAGTTCCCTCTGGAGAATGACTCTGCTTCATTCTAGGTCTCTGTTTTTGATGGTTGGGTTACACCCAGTTCCCCTGAAGTTCTGGAAATATAGCTGGTCAATTCCTTTGGGAGACTGGGCCACTGGGCATGGCTGCTGCTGCTTGCTGAGGCCGCTTGGAGTGATTCAGAAGGAAGAAAGAAAGTCCTATGAGGCTTCTGAAGTAGAACCCAAAGAAAAGTACCCCAGCAGTCTAGACTCCACAGAAAGAGCATTTTCCAACACTGCATTTGGGGAGTGTGTCTGCGTGGCTGCCAGCCACAACTCTGGCAGCCTCCCCCACACAGGACCGCCATCTGTGTTTGGGCTGGTTGAGCCAGTTGTACCCTGCACGAAGGTTCTCAGGCAAAGGGGAGGGTGGGGAATGATGTGCAGCCCACACTCTGCTCTCCAAGTCATGCACTCAGGCTGCACCTGCCTTGAACAAAGGCGCTAATTTGCTCAAGGTGCTGTAGGGACTGGTGGAGGCCGTGCACCAGGGCTACTCACATATATCAAGTGTGAGCAGAGCATTCTAGCCGATATGCCATGGCATATTACAGGTGTGCAAAATATTGATCCCCTCCTTGCTGGGCAGGGTTGTCATTTCCAGTCATGAGAAGCCTCCGGTATATGCAGCCTCCAGATGTGAGCAATCTTCATGTTTTTCTATCCCAGTGTGCTATATAAAAATATTATTTTCTGCACATGCTATGTTGTGAAGAAGTTTGGGGAGCACTGCATTAGGGAACCTGCTTTGTCACTTGTCCAGAAGGGAGCCATTTCAGAAAGGACATGCATCCATTTGTCCATCTAGGCACAAGCTATGTCCAGCAACAGAGGTTTTCCTGCTTTGCTTACATGTTGGGATGTGGTGATTTGCAATCTCCCAGTAACAGCTGGGCAGAGAAGGGCTGGGTCCAGGGCACCTGCCAGTATTGGTGGTTGTGTCTCAGTTTCCAGAGGGAGAACTCTGTCTGGCAGCCTAGATCACAATTTCATAGCTTGAAGTTCCCAGAGGTTTGCTGTCCTGTGTGCTGGTTTTCCCCATCTGTGCACGAGAGGGATATGTGAGAGCTTGTTCACTGAAAGCTGCTGCTGGGCAACGCCCGTCCAGCGAGGTTCCCAGGAGAGTTAAGCAAATGGCATGAGGGATGCCTTAGATTTGCCCAGTGCTGCGGAAATCTGCGGGAGAAGGGCCTTGTCTTTTGCTGAGTCCCTTGCCTCTGCTCCAGCCACCTAGTTGGGAGCCCCTGGGTAACTAACAGAAAAGAGCAGTAGAAAGGAATGGGGGGAGGGGTATTTGGCATTGATTTTGATTATAGGTTTGAGGCAACACCCAGGCTCAAGCTACTTGGATTCCTTGTTTCTAGTTAAGGCCTTGTTCTTTTTGCATCCCAGTAACTCCACTTTCACCTATACACAATGGTGAGTTGCCACTAGCATCTCAAGTGCTTTAGGCATTTAGAGAGCTTCGAACAATTGTCTCATTGGCTGGAGGAGTCTTAGGTTTAAATTAAACACTGAGTGATGAATAATTGCCATCCAACTTGCCTATAAAGATTTACTTTGAGATCTCTCAATCCAGGACTCTGTGATTAACTCCTCAGATGTTATCTCCTTCTCTGCCCACCAGCTGGGAAGTTGGGTTACTCTTCTTCCTCGTATTGCCTTCAAATCCTGGTGCAAACTCTCTGGGCACCGTGCCCTCACTTCTGGCTTCTCCTTCCCCTTGCCCCCTCCCCTTCTTTCCCTTCCCCTCCTCCCTCTCCTGATCGCTGCAGAAGTACAGGTCCTTTGGTCTGGCTCTCCAGTGCATTTGGCTTATCTCGACATTCAAACTTCCCTGTGCTTCGAGTCTCACTTAAAAGGAAGTGGCACTGCCCTGCCTGTCATCTCATAGATGTCCGCCCTGTTACCTTACAGAATCAGTTCTTAAACTCTTACCCATTTTAGCTTCCTGCCTGGTAGCTCAGCTATTAAACAGGAGTGCTTACAAGACATCTGATACTTCAAGTGACCCCAAATCTGTGCTGACTGTAGCAGAAGTGAGGACTTTCAGATAGTGACAACCCCTCTCTAGATCTCCAAAATATTTAAAGCCCTGTCAAAGGGCTTTGCACATCGCAGAGAAGGACATAAGGCACAGGGAACTGTGTCACTAGACCACTACAAATGGTTGTGCAGGCCGTGTGCAGTAATAGGGCAGCTGAGGGAGTGAATGGGAACTGAAACTCAGCTTCTGTCCCATTTGCCAGCCAGGGAGCCGGATGTGGGCCTGTGACTTACGAGAGGGAGGCATCTGTTTTCTAATTTTCACACTGCGAGCTAGCGGTGGCCCTGGGTGTTATAGGGGTGGCAGTTCCCATACCATAGTCAGAGGCCTGGGGGCTTCTGCATGTGAAAGGTGGGATCAGCCTCCCAAGTTCATCAACTTGTAGATGGCCATGGACCTGGGGAGCGGGGTTCTGTGTGTGCACAGAAGCAGCTGTAGAGCAAAGCCCTGGGCAGTTACTCCTGCGAAGTATGGAGAAGAGTCCCAAGGGTGCTAGCTGGCCCCTGGTTGGATGGACTGGGTACACCAGAATGGCTGGGCAGATAGGAAAACAGGGATAAAAAGTCAGAAAGGATTTACCTTATCAGAGAACTGCAGAATGGAATAGACCGTGTTTGCTGGCTCTTCCTTGGAGGGCGGCACCTGTAAAACATGCATGCTCCCCCCGGTGAGGGAGCCCAGGCCCAACAGCAGGAGTCCCCCTTCCTAATCCTGCCCCGCCCCCAGCCCTCCCTGTCCCGCTTTACTAGGTGGAACCTCCCCCGGCCTCAGCACTGGCTCCATCCAACTTCAGAGAGGATCAGGGCCAGGAGTGGGTGGGTAGGGCCTGTGGGCTCGGGAGCCAAGAGGAGGGGTCCGTGTGGTTCAGAGTGAATCTTGCTCGGTGAGCATTTTAGCTTTCCACGGCCTCTGTTTATCCAGCTGCCCTGTCAGTCCACGGACACCACTAGACGGACCAGGCAGACCTCGTTTCCCCTTTACTCCTTGCAGACTTCAGGGAAGCAGGTGGGTGGGAGCACAGAGGAAGGTGATCCAGGGTGGAAGTGAGGGAGGGGCAGGCAGGGAAAAGGCAGGTGGGAGGAGGGTATAGGACAGAGTGACTCTGAGTCCGAGGAAAGCTACCTGCTGCTGCTGCTAGACCAGGAAGTGTAGTTCAAGGGGGTCTCTCTCTGAGTTCTGTGGCCTCGAAGCCCCCTGAGCAACCTTCACCATGTGAGTAGTCACAGAACAGCCCTCACCTCACACCAGGGCTCCCTTGTTGTGCAGCCCCTCTAGAACGCGCTTTACTCCTAGTCATGACTCTCAGGCAGCCTGGAGCCAGGCCCTCTGCGGAAGCTCAGGGCTGCAACCCATGGAGGCTGCCATGGGGTGACAATTGGCCATGTTCCTGTCCTCATAAAAAAATTCTTGGCATCATTTCCCTGACATGGAATTTCCTGGATGGACCCTCTAGACTCTTGCGGTGGCTGCGCTCAAGACAACAGCAAGTAGAGGGCAATGGCTGCCTATGACTCCCCCACCTGGTGATGGTGGGGACGGGGGTGTCCATGTGTAGCACCAGCTCACCTTGGACTGAGGGATTTCATCATAGATTCTGGACTCTGCTGGCTGGGCATCTCTTGAAACTGTGATGTATGTGTATATTGTTTTCTTTGATACAGCATCTGTGTCACAAATAAACATAGAACCACATTCTGTGAAAGGTGGGTGAGTTTTTAGAGATGATCTACTCCAATGTTCTCTTTTTAAGATGAAGAAATGAAGCCCTAAGGGGTTAAATGGCTTCCATCCCTTGAGATGGACGCATAGGTGCTCGGACTGCCTCTCTCTTTCCAGAGGTTGCACGTGCCTCATTGGAAATGCTCTTCTACTCTAGAGTCCAGATGAGGCTAAAGAGAATCTCCCCAGCCCCTGTGTGGGCCGTCAAAGGCAGCTCTTCCACCCAGGGTCTTACTAAGTGTCTCCGGCCACAGCAGTGACTGCCTTGCATGGCTAGCTGACTTTTCATGTCAGCGTCTTAGCTTTTTAACTTGATTGATTCTCCCCAGTTATGCACCGTGTTGCATTCTTCTGGTGGGTGCCTTGCTGTAACCACCTCAATGTCAACCACATAGTAGATGCCCCACAACGTTTATTGCTTGCTTGATTGATTCACACAGGTAAAAAACATTTATCAAGCTCCTTCTATGTGCTAGGCTCTGTGTAAGGCTTCAGAGAAGCAAAGACAGTAGATAAGTCCCTACTGTAAAAAATTTATGGGATAGAAGAGGCATTCATCCCAGTGTACTCCTTTTCTTTGGAGTACTTTTCTACTAACACAGAAAATCTTAGGGTCAAGCTGAAAATAGCCAAAATTTGGGGCCTTCATATTCAAGGGCACCAACACAGCTACAGATAACATGTCTGAGCTGAGTGGTATCACAGGGCTTCAACATTTCAGAGTTCTGTCCTATCCTGCCCCCGCCCCAGACCTGGTGGGTGAGCCAGACTGAGTGCCTTCTCTTATCTCCTTTATAGATGCAAAGAATAACCCTTTTCTCTTCCCAAAAGGCTGTGAGGGATTGAAGACACATGTATCTTTGAGGGACCTTACAGACCACTTGTGTGAGCAGGCTGTGACTTCCCCTCATCATGAGGCCACTTGATTACGGCACAAGTCCCAAATCTCCGTCCCCTAGAACACCCCTGCTATACCATGCCCAGGCCCATCAATTATAAATATAGTAGCTAACATTTACTTAGTACTTACTATGTAACAGGAACTGGGCCGAGTATTTTATATGTCAATCCACTTAATAAGTATATGCAAGATGCTCTAATTTTGTGAATATTTTATAACCGAGGAAGTGGCAGCTTATAGTGCTAAAATAACTGGTAGCTGGTTAACTGGGATTTTTGCCCCCGCAGACTGACTGCAAAGTACGTGCTTGTCTTAACCACTTCTGTGAACTCTCCAACCCTCCAAATTATTATTCAGAGAACCTCATGGCTGAGAACTTACCAGAGCTGTTAGTGAAGGTCTTCAAGTAGGAACCTGAGGAATCATACCCAAAGGAGAGTCAGGAACATGGAAGCAAAGGTTCCATGTGTTTTATTGTGACTGTTGGGAAAAGGAAGATCTTGGGTGGACATAGGATGAGGGAGAATTGGAGGGTGTGATGCTTCCTTAGGGATCTAAGGTCAGATTTTCTGAACTGAGAATGGCACAATTACAGAAAGATCCAGAGGGATTCAGAGAGATCTGTCTAGTGACAACCATAGGATACAAATTAGTACATATCCCTCAATGACTCTCCAAAGGTCATTATCAAAATAGGATGAAATTGGAAGTGACCCCGGAGATGCTCTAGTCTGAACATTTCACAGGTGAGGACACTGAGCCAGAGAGGTGAACACACTTGTCCAGTGAAGCACAGCTTGGTAATGGCAGTACTAAACTCGAACCCAAGTTCTGGGCCCACCCAATACTGGTGATCTCGGGAAAAGATCCTGAAGACCATTCAGGGTGATATCACAGAGTCCTCAGGACCATCATTCTGAGAGGTGGTGAGGTGGTGGGGTGAAGATTTTAGGAAGGTTGATTCCCTGGAACAAAGGACCTCTCCACACCATCTTGGATAAATGACTTTAGTCCTGTCCCCAGAAGAAAAAAAAGTGCATTTCCACATTTTACCTTCTGGGAAAATCCTACCTTGTCTTCTCTTGCACAAATGGAACAAAAACACCGAAGATAGAATGAGACTAATCAGAAAGAACCCAGCCAGCATAGTCAGCAACCTGGTATGGTGAGTACGGAAGCCCATTGTGGTGTCTGGAAACAGAAGATGCAATGATTCTTGACTCTCAGAAAATAGGCCCAAGAGGCTGGGCAGGCTTGTCCACATTCGAGGGCATTATCAAAACTGGTTGCTCCCCAAGAGAGTGCCAAAGCTGCTAGGGGAACTATACTTTCTGCTATTAAAAGTCAGGATTAAAAACTAAATCAGACAGGCGAGCAAGAGCTGCCGCAGAAAACCCTGAAATGCTTAGCATCTCTCAGAAGGCTTTGAATTCTTTCCCGGTGGTCTTCCGGGGAGTGGATGCCCCTAGGGACCAGGCCCAGCATAAGGGAGGCACATTCTCCTAGAGCATGAGGCCCACGTTCAGGCCTTGCTGCTCTTTAGAGTGGTTTCTGAGACTCACCAGGAGAGAGAGTCAGAGCTGGTTACCTGTACAGAGCCGCTGGGCAGAGATGGACTCAGAATTGTTGCTGACGGGGTTCCAGGCTGTACACGTGTAAGTCAGCTCATGGTCCTCAGGGGTCTGGAAGATTTGAAGGACATTACCCTCTTTTCCCAGGGGACTCCAGCTGTATGTCACATTCTTTTCTTCTTTGTCCACAGAGCATGTCAGTGTGACATTACAGGTGCTGTTCACAGATGTCATTAAACTCTGTGTAATTTTTGGTTTCCCCAGCCGACCTATGAGAGGAAAACATACGAGCCAGTGGTGAGTTGGAGTTGGCTTGTGCTAGTTTTGGAGAGCCGATTGTTCAATTTTCAGAAATTTTGCAAGGTGGTGGTTAAATATAAATTAT